AAAGAGAGAGAGAGAGAGAGAGAGAAATCAAAATAAGCAACACACCAGTAAGATAAAAAAAATGCCCAAGCAAACAAGCAAAGCAAAATAAGACAAAAAGTCTAAAGGAATACCACTGAGTTTGTTTTGTGCTGCCAGCTATTCCTAGGCATGAAGTCAGTCCTTAAGTGGGGTTGAGACTGCATTGGAAGAAACTGAATTATTTTTAGTATGCCAGAAGAGCTTCCTTTGTCATAGACAGCATGACAAACCTAGGAAGCTGTTTGTTGGCTTGGTAGAACCGTATTCTCATTAGTGAAGGGAAAGTAATTCTGTTGGTTTGGCAACAACAATCCCTACAATCAAACTTTCACTATGCTCATAGGAAAGGCAGGAACACATATCCATGTTCTTAATCTTCCCACCCTACTCACCTTGGTCAAGTAATACTCTACTGAACCAGTGTTTAAGATAATGCTCATCTAGGGAAGAAGGAAAGAATGGGGTTAGAGTACAGAGTTCAGCTTCATGAGGTGGACTTCAATGGGACATAGGGATGCCACACTATAAACAGCCCCAACTTCAGATTTGCCATTTCTAACATGATGACCAGCCTCTATATAGTTATGGGCTCTTCTTACTTATGTAGAATTCATAGCTATTTATATATTTTTTGTGAATCTTAATTGTTTGATTAAAAAGGTTTCTTCATGGAGATACCATAATAGAGGGATACATTTTAGGTTTACAGAGAAATCAGGCACTAGGGAAATGTCTGGAGATCTACAAAGATGACACCAGATAACAGTCTAAGCAACAGAGGAGAGGCTACCTTAAATGCCTCCCCCTGATAATGAGATTGATGACTGACTTATATACTCATTAGCCCTCATCCAGCAGCTGGTGGAAGTAGAAGCAGACATCCACAACTTATCACTGAACTGAAAAGGAATCCAGTTGCAGAGAAGGATGAGTGAAGAGCAAAGGGGTCCAGACCAGGCTGGTGAAACCCACAGAATCAGCTGACCTGAACATCGGGGAACTCTTGCTCCCCAGACTGATAGCTGGGATACCAGCATGGGACTGATCCAGACCCCAGGAACATGGGTTTCAGTGAGGAAGCCTCTGAAATCTACAGGACCTCCTATAGTAGTTCAGTACTTACCCCTAGCATAGGTGTGGACTTTGGGAGCCCATTCCACATAGAGAAGTACTCTCTGAGCCAAAACACACAAGGGTGGGCCTAGGCCTTATCCTGAAGACTACCATAGACTCTGATGACACCCGATGGAAGGCCTCACCATCCAGGGGAGAGCAGAAAGGATATGTGATAGGGTTTTAGTTGGGGGCAAGTGGTAGGGGAGGATGGGAGGGAGAGGGAACTGGGATTGTCATGTAAAACAATCTTGTTTCTAATTTAAAAAATTTAAATAAAAAATCTGCAAAAGAGTAAAAAGGTTTCTTCATGAAATTGTTTTTTTTCTAAACAACAGCTTACAACAAAAAGTAGAAAAATGCCTTGAAGATGGAATCCGCCTTCCCATGTTAGATGCAAAACAGCTTCAAAGTGAAAATGATAATCTTAGAGAGCAGAATGCAACTGCTAGTAAGGTTAGTATACACTCTGAGAGCAGAGGTCACGTCTGTCCCGTGGAGCTTGTGTATCTTAGAGCTTTCTGAGTGGTGTATAATTTTAATGATATTTAATCGCTTATAAAATATTTAGTTTACTTTGATTTAGAAAGAAGGTAGCAATTTGATATATTGTAAATTATTTAAACTTAAATAAAAGCCTTACAGATATTAAGAATTACAGGAAAATGTTTGCAGTTTTGCTTATGGGTGGTCTATGCCATTTGCAATTTAAAGAATATTTAGCTACGAATGCTTTTGTAAAATAAGACATTTAAAAATAAACTTTTCTCTTGAATTTTCTTGAAGTATTAATGCTTTTTTAAAGTAATGGAAAAGATTCAGACTAATTTACTTGCTGTGTTTTAGATAATAGAGAGCCAGCAGGATGAAATTAACAGAATGATTTTAGAGATTCAGGTAAGGAATATTTTGTACATATTTTAGTGTCTATATCATTTAAAAGTATTAAAGTATATGTGTAACTATGTGAAAATATAATATTAATGGTACCTGAGTTAATCTGAGCAGAATTCATAGTGTACATGTATACAGTTGTGGAAGACCAAGATTTACTAATAAAATAAAATTCTGCCTGGTAAACCTGTTCTCCAAAGGGATGGTAAGACTGTTTTCTCTTCTTTGTCAGTCTCTTCAATAATTGACCATAGTCTCTCTCAGATGCTGAGAATGTATTTGATTCAGGTTGTCAGAGACCTAATCACAAGAGAGAGTGGAATGTTGTTAGTCTTCTTATCATTTAGTTTTCATATGCTAGTTCCATGCTAGTTTCCAGATGGAAACATATTTCCAACCCAACTCTGCCCATTTTATGTTCTTTTCCTCCATCAAATTTTCTTCAGAATTCTTAATGTTTTCCCTAGCATCCCATGGTGCTGCCCAATATTGAGATCTCCAAGATCTCTCTCTCTCTCTCTCTCTCTCTCTCTCTCTCTCTCTCTCTCTCTCTCTCTCTCTTTCTCTCTCTCTCTCTCTCTCGTTCTGTTTTCTGATTTTGCTTCCCTACTGCCATTTTGCTATAATGCCTATAATGCTATAGGTGATGCTCACCAGTTACAGGAATAATGTAGTGTCTGTCATTTGTGGAGTTATATATCAGTTAAACAATCAGTTCTGAGTATGGCATCCCACAATCTGCTTTTATAGTTCCTCCCTACCTACTTATCCTGAGCATGCTTGTGTGTACACATGATGCCTCAGGAAATTTTTGTAAAAATCAAAGCCCCCTAAGTGTCTGTGTCTGTCAAAACCTCCTCACCTGTGAAGACTCTACATAGCATTGTCTCATATAGCATGGAAACATGTTCCCAGCCTTGCAGTGCTTTTAGCTTCCCTCTTCCTCCTAATGACACTGTTGCTCTTTCTTTGTTACCAAATGATATTATGCTACATGTTTATGTCTTTACATTTTACTGAGTTTCTTGAGAATGATGCTCTGGTAGCTCAGTGGGGGAGTTAGAATTAACTTAACAAAACTCTGGACACACAATGCATACTTGAAAAGTTTGGAAGCTAGCAGTTCTTTAATTCCTTCATTCATTTGCCAAATACTTATGGAGCCCTTGTCTGTATGGTGGATACACTTCTTGAATTTCATTAGTGAGCAAAACAAGTCTCCAGTCAGTCTAATGGATTGGATTAGAAAAATGGAAATACATATCAAGTCCTACTATTTTTTTCTGTTATAAAAGTGCTAATTAAAAACATAAGTAGGATACAGGGCAGTGACAGAGAGGACTGCACTTGAAAGGGTGACCATGTCAGTTTTATAAAGGAGGTGATTTTTGAGCAGCAACTTCAATGAAGATAACCCAGGGAAGCATAGTGCATGCTGGGGAAAGGAAGCAACAGATGCCCTATGTTGTCTGATGTCTTCAGGGATACTGCTTTCCTAGAGAGGGGGATTGAAGCAGTGAGATGATGCAGGTGATGCAGGAAAGTTGCCTGGACAAGATGATCCAGTGTTTACATTTTACTCTATATATGACAGAAAACTATCAAACAAATTTTACTGAAGAATATTTTAGAATCATAATCCTCATCCTAGAAATACTTTTGAGAGTTTTTTTGGAGGTTCTAGCAGGGAACACAGTTACTCATATACCCTAGGGGAAGCAAAGGTCCTCTATGAGAAAGGTCATCATTTTTGATAGGATATGTAGCTTTTGGGAAGGAACACACATGGGTCAGTAAGGAAGGGGGGAGGGAGCCCACTCCCAGAGAGTCTTATGAGTGAATGAACTCTGGTAGTCATTGCATAACAATTATCCCAGCCATATCACCCTCATTGACCTTAGAGTCAGCAGCTCACATATCAGAATTAAATGTATTCCCCTATGTTGTCTGTTTCCCTCCCATAGGTTGTATCTGTCTATACTTACATAGCCAAAATACCATGTCAATAAGAAAAACAGAATATCCCAATGATTAACAAAAATTTTGAATTTTAACTATAACTATAATAATAATTATAAAGCTTCACTATAATTTTAATGTTCTTTTTCTAATAGTTGCAACAATAAGGCCTTTTAGCAGATAGAAACAACTTGGTGTTCTTAGACTTCCATTTTTTATCACTGCTTTTTTCCTGTTAAACATTTAAATGATCAGAGATAAACAGTAAAATCTTTTTCTGTGTACATTTTCTCCCTTATTAATAGAAGATAAAAATATGATATTGTTTTATAATAAAAATGCTATTTATCAAGACAGGTCTCATAATGTAGCCTTTGTTGACCTGGAACTTGTTATATAGATCAGGCTGGCCTCAAAGTTACAGAGATCTGCCTGTCTCTGCCTCCCAAGTGCTGGGATTAAGGGATTAAAGGCAAGTGCCACCAGGCCTGGCATGAAGATACTATTTAAATACAGCTGTCATCTGCCATTTCACACCCACAGTTTAAAAAAAAAACAAAAACAAACAAACAAAAAAACCTACCTGGTAGAGGTCACTGGCCAGTGTGGTTCAGTTTTAGAAGGGGACAGAATTGATCTTGGACTAGTAATAATACTGCAGTTGTTAAATACAGAAAAAGCAAGGCTTCATATAAAAGCAGCTATTAAATTGGAAACTGAGTCCTGTGTGAAATTGAACCTTGTAAGGTTCAGGTTTCTATACAGTTTGGTCAACTGTCAAGATGACATTGTTGACTGGGGTGAATACCTTGTTGATTAATTGATTGTGTAGAAATGTTTTTTTTTTTTTTTTCTTTATACCCAGAGACCAGGAAAGGTAAACTGGCTGCTCTTCGGGCTTTTCTTCTGTTCACTTATGAACATTCTGACATCATTTCTGTAAACGTTATGGTTACAGTCAGGCTATGATTGATTTCTTCATTGTTAGGAGCATTTCACCCTCATCAGCTTACTTGTAATTAGCTGTTACCATTGCATTTTGTGTTTGTAGTCTTGACAGAGGAAGTATAGACTTTAAAAGTTTCAACCCGTTTACTGTTTTTTTTTTTTAACATTAAAATGTTTCTATAATGGAAGCAAGTATGCCATTGAATGACCTTTCTGAATTGGCATCTGTCAGCGAGTGATTATTATAACCACAAAAGATAAAATTACTTTTAGATGTCATTAAGAAAGCCCAGGTTTATGTGACCAATAACACTAGCAGCCTGCACGGTTCTCTGCAACCCTGCCTCTATCCAGGAGGAAGAGGGGCCTGGCCAGTGCTGAGGCTAGGCTATAGGAAGCAGTTTGGGGTCCTGGGAATGAGCCAGAGTGATACTGCCTTGGTGCTGAAGTGCCAGTGGTAACTGGGGGCTGAGGATGTGCTGGCCCCGCTGTGAGCATGACATGTGTGTATGCGTGTACCCACATTCTTACTTCTTAGATAGATGTGGGGAGATGGGAATGAAGTGGGACAAGTTCACAGCCGAGATTTCTGAGACTTGATCATCAGATGATGACAATCCCTTTGGGAATACATAATAATTGCTGGGGTATTTAGATGCCCTCTCCCTCACTTTACAAATATGTCTTCTTGAATAATCATCTCTATTGTAAGTACAGGAAGCTTTACTGCAGAGCAGGCTCTAATAGAAGCTTCTTACACAAAGCGTGGCTATGTAGACTGGACCTCACTGAAGTGTGAATACTGGTCCAGTAATGGACATTGCTGACAACTCTCCTACAAACTGTTTTTGTCCACCCTTCTCCCCCAAGTAGCCACATTCCACATCCATGTCACATGAACTTGATTACCTTTTTTTCTTTCTCCCTTACTGAAGAAGTCCTTTCCCCTCATTCCAAGACGGTTTCTCTGTTTAACAGCCATCGCTGTCCTGGAACTTGCTCAAAGACCAGGCTGGCTTCAACTCAGAGATCATCCAAACTCTGCCTCCTGAGTGCTGGGATTAAAGGTGTGTACCACCACTGCCCAGTCCCCTCTTATTTTTTTTCCCTGTCTCATTACCCATTCCATGCTCACATGGAATCTCACAAAAATTAAAATGTGAGACCCAAATATGTGATAAAACATGTAGTGCTTGTTGTTCTAACTCTGGGTCCCAGTGCTTAGTATAGTTTCTAGTTCTATCTATTTTCCTGCAAATGGCACAATTTCATTTTTCTTTATGGCCAAGTAATATTCCAGAGTGTTTATGTACCACTTCTCCAATATCTGTTCATCTGTTGATGTAGGGCAGTAGGTCAGTAGTAAACATGGATGTGCAACTATTTCTCTCATGGAACTCAGAGTCTTTAGGGCATGCATCCAATAAATTCCCCAGATTTTTGTCTCCAACTCACAATTCTCCCTTCCATATTTGTGTGTTCAGGTTCCTGTTCAGTATCGCCACACTACTGGTGACATACTTGATCTATAACGCATTAAAAACAAAAACACTGAAACTTTCTGAAAAAAGTCTACTGCAAACCCTGCCGTAGCTCCCAGTACTGAACTATTAACCTTAACTCTTAGCACATGTTTCTCAGGAAATTCCATGACCTTTAAAATATAGCCCTCTCCACCTTCCTCCTGTTGTCAGCATCATCCAAGCTATTTTTGTTTCTCTTGTGGAGTTGTTCTTGTGTTCACATAGTCTGTGCTCTTCTTAAGTGATACTGTTGGACAAAACAAAACTCAGGTCGCATGTTTCTGTTCAGAACTCTTCAATGGTTTCTTTTATCCAAAATAATAATCCAAGTTCTAACATTAATTTATGAAGCCTGTACAGAGTATTCTTGCTCTGTAATTGTAGTCACCCTGGCTTTGTTGCCCCACTTTTCTTTTAATCAAACAGAATGCAATGCCTGCCCCAGAATTTCTGCAGACTGAAACTCTCTTGGTATCGGGTGGACACAGTCCCTTGCTCACTCCAAACCTTTGCAGCATCAGTGTCAGCTTTCCATGTACCTTTCTCCCCCAGTTTTAGATTTCAGCATCATCTTCTCTACCATGCTCCTGTTCATTCTCTGCAGCAGTAAACAAACTAATAAATATTATACAGCTACAATTTATTTTGTCTTTTTCTTCCTAGTAAACATTCCACAAAGTCCAACAGCTTTCTCTGTCTTGTTCACTGCTGTATAACTTACTAAAAAGAACAATTTGCTCATAGATTGTTTTGGTAACTCTTGTGGGACATGTGTGTTTGTGTTTGTATGCACATGCACTCATGTATGTATGCAATACTAGTATGTTTTTCTTTTCAAATGACTCCTTTTAAGTTGGGTTTACAGATTATGTGGAGTCTGTTGGCAGAAACACTGCTTTCCTTCTTTTGAGTTATTTGTGTATTTCTGTATTCTTATATCTGAACAAAACATACATTTAAAACTACTTGTCAACTTCAGAAATGCTCATAGTAAATGCCAGGAGGTTATGAACTTAGTGCAGTCTTAAGATGGTTAAGTCTGGAATTTAAGAAATATTTTTGACATTTAAAACCTAATTCAGTCCTTTAATTTTATTAATTCTTAACATGGCTAATGAAGTGCAACAGATTGGTATCCTACATTTCACAACAGCCAAATATTTGTTTCAGAAAACATGGGTTATTCATTTATACATATTAGGGATCCACTATTTGGAGCAGTTACATTTTAAAAATCACAAGATTTCAAAAAATGCTTTGAAAATTCCTTGTGAAATAACATTTATTATTCTTTCTTAGTAGAATAAATTAGCTGAAATATTGATCAGATTTTCTAGGTTTCTGTATAGAAAAGTAACTATTGGCTTGTTATTACGAATTCTTACATCAAAATAAATATATTGTACATTTGTATTTATAAACACTAGTAAATATTACAAGAGTTCTTGTGAACATTAGCTTAAATATCTGTGCTTGACTTTGGAGATTGAGTGTGACAGTCATGTTTTTGTTCTTTCATCTGTTGAGACAATAGCATTACTTCACTCCTCTAACCCTTATGTGTACTACTTTTTCATATAGTTTAGAATACACACATTAACTGCTTTTGTGGGTGAAGTGCTGTTGTCAGGCATTGTCAGCACTGTAACTAGAATTATCCTTGGAAGCAAACAAGACTGTGAACCCTCTCTCCCATGGGGCTTCCTGGTTCCCAGCCAGTATGACACGTGATCCTGATGTTATTTCAGTTTTCCTTCTTGTGACACTATTGCCAAATACTTCTGAGTTCTCCTGATAGAAAAAGTTGCCTGTTTTGCAACTGTCTTAATTTTAGTCTTATATGGAAACGTATTAATGACTAGCTAATTGTCATTCGTAGTCAGCATGGCTCTGAGTTGATCAAAGTTTTTAAGGGATTGCATTATGAAAGTAACCTCTTTGGGCTCAGGTTTTATTGTTACGTGAGCTTTGAAGTGTTTATCTGTGCCATGTATCTTAAGAAAATTTCAATTGAATTATGGAGTATAGATAATCTTGTCAGATTATCTGAATCTCCAAGTAGGTAATAAATCTTCATATATCATTCAATCAAATGAAGTTACAAGACAATTGCAGTGACAAACATATATTTAGAGAGCTTTCCTTCTGTGCTATATTGTGAAATGCATTTTGAGGGAATGTAAAACAAGGTTGTTTAAGGAAATATACTTGTTCAAAGGTTTGGTTCATTTTTATCTAACTTTTAAGTCATTAAATAGTCTTTCAGAGTTTTATCAAGTGACATTTAAAAACAGTAAGTTAAATATCTGTCCCTTATAACATGCTTTGCATTCAATCTTATGCCTCCTCTGGGACCCTCTCCTCCCTTACATGCAGAGATGATACACACATAATGGACATGTGCTGTGTGGGAAGTCAGTGTGCTAAAGCATTTTTAGTTAAGAATAAAGATAGACTTGTAGAAAAAAATGATTTCTCTTTCCTGGTCATAAGTTTATTGATTTCATGCTCTAACCACAGTGGGGGAAAGATGATAGAAACACCTAGGAACCCTAGTAAGCTATTGAGTTATGACAAGTTCTTCCTGTAGTATGCAATAAAAATCAGGAGTCAGCTGGAATGTCCCAGGTATTCCTAAAGCACCTTCTATGCTGCTCTGTCACTCTTGGGATGTTTTTTTCACAGTACTGTCTTATCTAAACGATGATATAAGCAGATTAATTTTCAAATTTTCCTCTGGCTTGAGTTTGGGCTCATGTTCACTGTTCAGGACAGTATAAACAGAAAGGGGAGCTTAGCTACAAATGATTTTTTTTTTAAAAAAATAACTGTCTTATTCTAATATTTTACATATCAGGAAAAAATGTAACAAAGTATTACTTTGTTGCCAACACACTCCTAACAGCAATTAGTAAAATAAGAATTATTTGTAGTATAGCACTAGATAGAAATCTCAATTTGACATGTTTTACACAGGTTAAAAACTTCTTTGGTATTGCCTCCCTATTCTTTGGATCTAATGTGAACTGTTTGAAAAGTGACTACTTCATCTTAGAAGGGACCAGGGAGGCAAAAAGATCTTTCGTATTTGGAATATGATAGATTGACATATGTTTTTTTATGTACTAATGTATTTGCTTTACAGTTTTGTCATTGTTGTCATTTTAGTCTATGCAAGCGAAACTTTCTAAAGAGAAATTGACTGCACAGAACGTGGGGGAAGAGTTAGGAAGGAAAGAAGGAAGCCTCCAGAGATTAACAGACGTACTGCTTGAAGTGAGTACAGCTCTAACTGCCTGGAAGGGCGATTCTCCACCTCTTTAAAGTCCATGCTTACTTTCTACATATAGGTATAAAACATGTTCATGTTGGAGGTTTGACTGTGATGTGTTGATTAATTAAATTCATTAGGGTTCATAAGAAAATTGTAATAAAAAGACAAGCCTTTATGTTTCTTATCTCTCCCCTGTCATACCTTAGAATACAATTTTCATGGCTTAACTGGGTATAGTCAAATGTTACACATGCACGAAGACCCAGAGTGCACCAAGAAGGCATAGGTTGAACATAAACAAAGTCCTCCAGGGGACTGCAGTACTGCTGCTGCGGCAGACCACACTTTCCTAAGTGTGAACTTACATACTTAACCTGTGTTTAAGGACATGTTACAAACAGCACATGTGTTAGCCGAAGTACTCAACTGAATCCCTCAAGTGGAGGCTGTCTTCTTACATAACTACAATACAATTGTCATGCCCTATAAAAATCATGATTTCTTGATGTTCATAATCAGCGGTATTCACATTTCCCCACTTCACCAAGTATTTTTTCAGTGGCTGTGGAAGACATTACTCCTTCAAGGGCCACTCTTGCATCTCATTGTGGTGTCTTTTTTTTTTTTTTTTTTTTTTTTTGGTTTTTTGAGACAGGGTTTCTCTGTGGCTTTGGAGGCTGTCCTGGAACTAGCTCTTGTAGACCAGGCTGGTCTCGAACTCACAGAGATCCACCTGCCTCTGCCTCCCAAGTGCTGGTATTAAAGGCGTGCACCACCAGCACCCGGCTTTCATTGTGGTGTCTTAAAAACATGAGGTGCCACTCTTCCCCATGTCACTGTCTTTTTGAAGACACTAGAAGCTCATTAATCTCATAAATTGTCATAACTTTTAGATTTGTTCAGTTGCTTCCTTAATGGTACCATTTTTTCTTTACCCTGTGTTTCTAGTATGCTAGCTATTGGAGCTAAAGGCTACATGAAATTCATGTCAGTTGTTTTTTGCTATGGATACTTTATATTGCGGACAAATTGTACAATATTTGATTATCCTTCTTAAGTGGTGTGCACATACTAATCTCTCTAGGTTAAAGTGGTGACAGCTTGGCTTTTTTATTATAAAGGTGTAGTCACTACAAACAGCATGTGACCTGTGGGACTGGGTAAATATGCAGTTTGCCAGCATCTGTTTTCTTGATGGGGTTAGCTTCTACAAAAGTTGATTGCCTAAATAGGTTTTTAAAAATGTTATTTTTCATATGTACTTCATTCCCCAATGTTCATATATAAAAGCAATCTTTTTCTTATCACTCAGTTTATTTGATTATTCTTAAGTGCGGTTCCAGTTGGAAATCCTGTTAAGCTTACTTTTCATTAGCAATTTCCGGGCTGAGGAGGAGGAAATAATTTTGGAGGTAAGGATAGCATTTTCTGAGTATAGTAAGTCATGAATCCATGCTGATACTTCCAGTTCCAGTCAAACAATTCTGAGATGCTGGCGTTTCTTTCCCTTTCATGTCACATGTATATTTCTTTGTGTCTTAAATCATAAAATTTAATTCCTATAAATATCAAAACATAAATACTTTTTCTCCAAATTAAATAGTTCCAGTTTTCTTCAGTGGAGTCTCACTGGGAAATTAGCCACACTTCACAATGGGTCCCATGCCTAGGAATAGGTGACCAACATGAAACAAACTCAATGGATTTGTTGTAGACTTTTTGTTCATTTGGATTGTTTGAACACTGTCTTATTTATCTTTTGCTTGTATATTTTTGTTTCTGTTTTATGGGTGGGAATTTGGTGTGTGTGCGTGTGTGTGTGTGTGTGTGTGTGTGTGTGTGTGTGCAGAGAGAGAGAGAGCGAGAGGGGGGTGAGAGAGAGAGGGAGAGAGAGAGAGAGGAGGGAGACAGATAGACAGACAGACATACAGACAGAGAGAGAGACAGAGTTTCTTGTTTTATGTTTGTCTTGTCTGTGTTTTTGAAAAAGAGATAAAAAGGACATTGAGTTAGGTAGGTGAGGAGGGGACATGGGGAAGATCTAGGAGGAGTTCAGGGAAGGGAAAAGTGATATATTTTATGAAAAAATGTTTTTTCATATAAAAAAGAAGACAAAGAAATATTTCCAGTATAGTTAAGTCACTTCTGCTACTTAACAACACCATGGAATGAGGTTTAGGTTGTCCTTGTTCTTTTCATCCAAATGGTTACATTGTGGGGAATGCATACATAGCCAGTCTGCTTGGGTATGATCTTTCCTTTTGTTTATGATAGTGTCAGATGACGCAGAACAGTCAGACTTATAAATATAGATTTTTTTTTCTACTGAATGTGTGACATTGAATTTGGTTAGGATAAATACATTATGATGTTTGATAATAGACTTCATGGAAAACGTTAAGCCTTTTGACTTTTGAATACATTTTCTCTGTTCTAATAACTGGCTTTTTCTCTCTTTCTTTTTTCTTTATCCACCACAGAGCCAAAGACAGACAGGAGAGATGTACTCTCTACTGGATCAGGGCCAAGAAGCAGAGCAGTCTGGGCTGCAGACCATTCATTCTAAGTGGCCTGTCTTTGATCTGACAGTGATTGACCAGCTGTTCAAGGAAATGTCCTATTGTTTGTTTGACTTGAAAGCATTGTGCAGTATTCTTAATCAACGAGCTCAGGGCAAGGAGCCTAACCTTTCCTTATTACTGGGAATCAGATGTAAGTGACTGCTGCCTTGCCTTTGTTCTGTCCTTTCCATGTTTGCTTTATGCTCTCCTTTTCTTTGGCTTTAGAAGTTTCCGACTCATTTGGTAGTTTTAGGTTTACCTCTCTGTAGTTCATTACTAAAACTGACACAGACTTATGGAAGCCAGCAAAGGCATAGTTGCAGAATGCCTAGAGATGTTTCCTACACCGAGTATGTGGATGTGTGCCTGCAGTGCCAGTTAGCAGTGATTTCCCATTTAGTCTTCTGTGGCGGTTACCCAGATGAGTGCGCCAGCTGTGTCTCAACTGCTAGAATATTTGTAAAATAATACTCACTGCTAGTCATTTTATGTGAGCCAGTCTCTCCCCCAGATGTGCTGCCTTTACCACACATGGCACTTCTTCTTTCCTTGTGACATCCTGCTACGCTGTCTCAGTTCTTTCCCCTTCTACCTAAAATTGTATAAGAGCTGCCACAGTAATAAAGTAATGGCCCTTCCTTGGGGGGTTCCTTTTGTAGGAATGCCCATCTTTTTGTGTGGTTCCCAAGGAGTAGAATATTATCTTGTTGGTATCTTTTTAATAGAGAAGAAATGGATAAGTAAAAAGCTTAAAAATATGGTAAGGCTACATACATAAAAGAAGTTTCTGGTTGAACATGTTTTTTAAGTGCTTACCTCAGTATGTATGGTTCATAGGTGACAAGAGGATATTTTCCTTTTATCCATTTTACTTTATCTTTTCTACCATACTACATCATAATAAGTATTTTGGCTTAGAACAAATGCTTTTAAAGAATGTCACTTGTTAAGTGAAACATATATTGTATTAAGCAAGGTCAGCAGAATTTCACCTTCATTTCACTGAGGTATGTTTGTGCACATACTTAAGTGTAGGCATGTGAAAACCACTGGTTAGTATTAGTACATATCAGACACCTCAGTGGTGTGGGTGCTGAGGTCCTGTCGGTGCAGATAATGAAACTACCACCTCTCACACACTAACTGAATTATTATATCCATGCAGTAAGTGCTATAATTGAGATATGATCAAAGAACGGTGGTAACACAAGTAATTAAAATGACTAAATATACCTCGGAAGGACTGCAAAGGCTTCATGGAGTAACGGGTGTTTGATACAGATCTTAGAGGAGAAGATGCCAGATGAACACTGACACTGGTTAAGACTGGATCTCTTGGAGGAAGAAACTGAAGTTCACATATAAAAGACTTCAAAGCTTTAAAATTGGTTTACCTTTGGTTATTTTATAATTGACATTTTAGTATAGCATTTATTAACCTTTACGTTAACAGAGTTATGCTAATATGAATGCAGTGGAGATTCAAGACTCTCACCACTTTCCCCATCCCTAATCCCAGTGCATGCTCTTTTTAGGCTTTCAGGTTCAACCTATGAGTCTTTACCTTACATTTGACATTGTGAAATTCTGTTCAGCCAGCTACTTTGTAAAGAACCAATGAAGTTGTTTGGATTTCTGTCTCTTGGCAGCCCTACCCCACTTTTCTTAAAATTCTCTGCCTCTTTGGTTTTCATGACATCGTTCTCCAAGTTCTACTTCCACCTTTATGACTACTTAGCCTCAATATTCTATAGACTTCTCTGCAACTTTTTTACTGGCTTTAAGCTGGACACACCTTTATCCCCAGCATTTGAGATGAAGAGACAGGTGGATCTCTGTTAGTGCAAGTCCAGCCTGGTCTACAGAATGAGATACAGGTCAGGCAGAGCTGCATAGTGGGACCTGTCTCAAAAATAAAAAAAAAAAATCATACTGGGGTACATAAGAACTACTAGTCAGTTGGTGTTTTCATTTGTTTCTACTTTTAGTCCCTATTATCTCTGAATACTTCTTTTTGTGTTTTTATATCTTTTCTGTTATTACAATACTTCCTCCCCCCAATACAGATACTGATCTCTCACCCTAGAAGGCATCTTTGGTGTCCTGATTGTAGTCAACTCTTTCTCTTTATATATTCAATCTGGCTGTTTCCTAGGCAGCATCAGAGACTCAGCATGACTGAAGTAGAATCCCAGTTGCCCCAACTAGCCCTGCTCCTCACAGGAATGAGCACCACCACACTCTATCAGCCTTTTCTTCCACAAGCTGTTCCCAGTCTCTGATCCTCACTCAAGTTGATGACAATTGAGCTCTACTAGAGCTAATATTTATTCTTACTATTATAGCAGGCTTAATTCATACACACATAACCCTGCACTGGACTGTTACCCATCTTATTTTTCCTCCTTTCCCTACTCATTTTTTATATTGTTGCCAGTGTTTTGTTTAAATCACAAATGGTTTTTCCTAATATACTCCCTGTGATATAATAGGTTCTACCTATCTCTGTAGTTTGTTCCTTATTATGTCTCTTGTCATGTATAATTTGTGTTCTGCTGCTTTATGGCTAGATATTAGTCTTGTTTCTCAGATTCTATCAGACTATTTTGTTTTGTGTTTCAATGGCCCACCAATAAATAAGTCCAGCTGTTTGTCCAGTTAGGTATCTGTATCTTTTGCCTGTGCCTCTGTGTTTTTTTGGGTGGTGGTGAGTCATCTACAATATACTGTACACTTAGTTGTTTATGGAATTGTATAGAAAGCATTGAGAATAAGTAAATGTTCAGTAGTGTCCAAGGTAAAAGGAGGTTATTTCACAGCTTTCTTGCTTTTTTTTATTGGGACAAGCTTAAAAAGAGAAACTAGAGTAGATACCTAAAAGCTAGCTGAGTAGAGCCTCATCCTCATTATCCAGACATTGGGCACTCTATATGTACTTGATTCAGTTGTTTGAGATTCTAGGGTCCTAATACTCTGGCTCTGTCTTTTGAAACTAATGTCTGCATGCCAGTAAAACCCGCCTTTAAGACATTTTCTCTATGCAAATAATTTTGAGATTTTGTCAGTGGGAAAGACTTAAGTGCTCCGTGGACCTTGAATAGATGTGAGGGTACATTCTGTTTCACTTTGCTAATACTGTCATCCACCAAGCATGCTCAAGTTGTGTATGCTATATGAATTCAATACATTCTAACTAGCAGTGTTTTTTTAAACTACATAGGTAGGTTCTATTTAATATCAGATAATGTATGATTTGAACCTAAGCCTTGCCAGTATTCATTGTACATCATGATGTTCCCATGGTGAAGGTGAGAATCTTGAAATGTCTGTGCAGAAATGTGAGACCTTCTCTCCGTGCTTTCTTTACACAGCAATGAACTGTTCAGCTGAAGAGACTGAACATGACCACAGCCCAGAAGCACTCACAAAAAAGCTCTCAGATGTGTGCCAGTTACGGAGGGACATTGATGAATTAAGGACTACAATATCAGACCGCTATGCTCAGGACATGGGAGACAACTGTGTTACCCAGTGATCAAGTGTTGGTCCACAGCAACAATGATCCATTGTAAAATGCTGCTGTGTTAGACTCTTTTGTTTCTTTTTCAGACTTATAAGGGAAAGGTGAAGCTCCTTGTGGCATACTTCAGCTTTGTTGTTGTTCTGTTTGCTTTACTGAGGAAGTTCGAAGGAGCTGGTCAAATCAGGCAAACAATCATGTTGCTATTTAAAAGAATGTGATAATGTCTGCAAGAAAGGAAAACAAAACAACCTGCATTTTCAAACTACTGATTGTAGGACCAAGCTGTGAACAGTGCTTTGAAGATAAAGGCATAGGGTTTCCTTAATCCTATCACTTTATGTATGTACAAGTCAGAGCTCATTCGTTCTCCCGCCTGATCACTCTGTCTCTGTCTGTCTGTCTCTCTGTGTGCATGCCATGCATGTGCATTTGCAAATGCATGGACTCTATTCACACAGTAATAGGATTTCAAGGGTCAAAGCAAAGCTTTGAAAGGCCCACACTGTCAATTCTTCATTTGGAATTTTATAGGCAGGCTGACTAGATCCAATAACAAGGCAGTGTTCTAATGCATAAGAACAGCAAGCAAAATCATTAGTGTTTTAAAAGTGACTGTCTAGATGGTGTGATTGTGAAATTGGACTGATTTTAGTACTGAAGACAGCTATTTCTTCTGGAGTGTTCATAGATTGTCTTAGCAGTGTGAAAATTCTGCTGTGATATTTTCATTGGCTTTGTAAGAAAAGTAATTGCAATTAATTTAAGCAATCTTTATGATATATATATGTAAACAGCCATATAAAATTAATAGGAGCCCTCTGAGGCCCTTGGTGACTATTATAAAAAGACAGATGATAAAGTAAGTCTGGCAGAGTTGCTTTTTATCTATATTTCAGCGTTTACATTAAACAGTTTCATGCCTGCTTTAACTACTTTAAGAGAAGGCCAACTCATTATTCATAAATGAATTAACAGTAGCATAAAGCCTAAGTCTTAATGATATTTTAATTTCTTTTATTAGATTTGTTACATTATAGTTTGTCATGGAATATGATATTGCTTAGGTTGGTTCATCTGGAGCACAGGGTACTACTATGAAATGCAACTCATCTGGCAGATACACAGCCATTTAAATGTCAAATAATATTGTCTGTATCATTTTATGTTTTGGAAAGGTTATATATTTTATTGCTGGCTGAGAATTCATTACAGTCTTTCCCATGTAGGCAAAACATTGCCCTTTATAGGTTGGTTTTCTTTCCCTCCCTTCCTCCTTCTCTGCCTCCCTCCCTCCTCCTTCCTTCCTTCCTTCCTTCCTTCCTTCCTTCCTTCTTAATATAACCTTGTTTTCTTCAGGTAGGACTGCATAGGTGGGAGAGTAAAGTGTGTGGAACCAGCAGGGTAGTACAGTGGGCTGAAATCAGACACATACCCGTTTTCTTGCTAAGCTTATTCTGGTGTAAAGCTTGCTCCTAGAAAATATTTTTCCTAATCTCAACAATGAAAACTTAGCAGGACTGGCCTCTGAGGAGACTGCCCAGAAGACCCACTCGGTTCAGAACGGGCCTTTATTCTGCTGTCCATAGTCTTTTGATAGTTATATTTCAGTAGTTGTTATACTCCATCATAAGTACAGATTTCCCTTCTATTTAATGATAAATTCACTCTACTCCTCTTGGATCTGCCTACCAACAAATCAGTGTGTTGAGGTGAATATGCATCCCAACTCCCTAACCCAGAGAGGAACTTAGCCACGTTAAGAATTTGGTTCTTTAAAAATGTGTTCATTGGGTTTTAAGGCTTTGATGACAATCAAGAAATTGTTAATTGCAAAAATATATGGCTTGCAAAAAGTAGTGTCTGTGCAGATGGTCCTGAGCTGTGAAGTCAGATGATAGCACCTACATGGGTCAACCACAGTGCACCAAGTAACAGACTTGCCTTTTCTTTGGATAGAGTCTTCACTGTCCTGTCATGATTTCAGAAATAAAGGCACCCAAAACTACAGTACTATAAAGCAACCATTGCTGTTCCATGTTAGCATCTTCTTACAGCTCCTAAGTCCTAGGTTTTTAGTTTTATGTTTTGAGGTTTTATAGTTACTGTGTTTTAAAATGAATATATGGTCATATATTTTAATATGTATATATATGCATATATACATAAAACTATATATACAGAGAGACATGCACACATACCTTTTTTTCTGGTCACTTGCAATAAATAATTTTTGTTTTGGCTAGTTTTCTAAAACTTAAAGAATTTATTTCACAGGTCTTATTAGAATAAGAAATTTTTAATTAAGAAACTACCAAACTTTTACTGATACATTTCAGTTTCTAAATTGTATACTACCATTTAAAGGCATTTATATGTGATAGATTTTGATATAATGGGTTACAAAATAGTAATCTCTTAACTAGAGTCTAGAGTTAATGAAGGACTTTGATAGTAAGTAGTCAGCTTTGGAGGGAATTTTGAGGAAGATGGACTAGTTGCGTTCTAGTTAGTCAGCATTTCATTTTTTCAGAAACATCTCCTTCCTTAAGCACACCCTTCCTAGAAAAGTAATAATATCACATCACATAGAAAACAGAAGTTTACCATTAGGTGGAGTAATATGACAAATAGTAATTCTATAGTGTTTTATCTCTGTTTTGAAGTAGGTTGTCATGGAAGATACTGTAATGACATAAGCCTAAAATAAAAAGGGACTCAAATTCGTAAATCTACCTGTAAATTCCCATATGTAATGAACTTGCTTTTCACTTACGCTTTTGTGTATAAAGTCTAATTCTCCTAGGAAGTGTTACACAGTATTTTATTTTAGGTCTGCTCGAGCTGAAGCCCTTCAAACACAGCCACATAGGACAGAGGTAGACTAACAGTTGCCTCAGGAAAGACCCCTATTACCTATGCAGATAAATGTAGCTGAATCAAGAACAAAATAATGCACTGCCCTTGCATTCTATGTCAGAAAAATAAGACTTACACCTAGTACATTTTCAGTGACCTCTGATTTTAAGATGGTAAATCTTGACTAGGTAAATATACAAGAATTTCATTTTTAAGAGCATGTTCCCTTTTAATATTTGAATAAGATTCACTGTTTAATGTTAACATTGTTACATCTTAGTGATGGTTGTAGGGTTGTAATTTTATGAAACTAAATTTAACTTTCAGTAGATTATTAGAAAATTCAAGAGCTAGAGAATGTTGCTAAAATGAGTGTGGGGCAGTTGGACTTAGAGGCTTGTGAGGAAATAGTGTTCTTGCTTCAGACTCGGTGGGAATCTCTGGCAGATGTTTATAAAGGGACTGTTTCATTGGAGAATGCTCTTTAAATACCAGTAATTGTTCACTGAGCAACAGGAGCTGAACACCCGGGCTGTTTTGCACAGTACTGTTCAACTCTAGCATGCCTCTGGTTTGGATTGCTGGAGTTCTTATTCATATTTGTCATTGGATATGTAATTACAGTGATAGGCTGTTCTCTGAATGAGCACACATAGCAGATGACATTTCTAACCACCAATGGCTCTTGCTTCCCTTTTGTTTCCATTTCTGAGAGTTGTTTTGAGTGTTCACAAACCAAGAGAAACTGTCTCCTGTTTGGTATAAAGAGTAAAAATTTCAACTTCACCCTCCAAACACATTGATGATAATTGCTGTATGAATGTATCATACATTTAATCATGAAAGGGAATGATTTGAGATTTCTTATTTAAATGAAATATTGAATATAATAGAATGTACTTTGAAATCAATAAGTCATCGGCAACACTGTTGCAGCTGTATACAGAGAGAACCTTTTGTGCCTTTTTGCCTGCAGTGTTTATTTCTCTTACATGAACTATAAGAATGTCAATTATTGCACCTTGTTCTTTGGTAAATAGACTTAAAAATTTTTCTAAAAAGAGCCATTTCTTCTTAGATGATAGTTACCTTAGTAAACGTGAGAGGATGTATCCTATTTGGATGTTTTTGAAGCCCAGCCTTTTCTTTGTAGAGAGCAGGAAATTCCTCTAAAATGTATTCATTTGTATGTATGTGTGTATTTATTGACATCATGTTGCCGTGGTGACCAGAAGTCATCAGGTGCTAGCTGGTCACATTAAGAGCACAGCAGAGCGTGCAATCAGTCAGTGACTGGTAGGTTTGTAAACTAGGTTCAGTTTTTGAACCACCAGAATACCTCATGTGTAAATACAGTGTTCATGACTTAACTGAAATGCAGTTATTGTAAAAAAAAAAAATGTGAAGCCACTGGCTGGCTTATGCCTTCTAACTTTTTGTTTTTCCTCCTTTTTGGAAAGGAGTTGTTTTGGTTTTGTTTTTTAAATAGGGTTTACAGCTAGAAATTTGAATGCCAAAGTTCTATTTATTAAACTAAGAAAAAAATGTTTTCAATGTTAATGGCTAGTATTTTTCCACTGGACTATTGTTTGTTGATGTTGGAATTTGTATTTACAGAGAAATAAATTTTTTTACAAAAATATTTGTTTTCGTGGTACCTAATGTTGGTATAAGAAGGTATTTGACGTTCCAGACTGTCTATCCCAAGTTCTCAATGATAAGAATATATTGATTTTTAAGCAAAAGATTTCTATAAACACACAGAAAAATTGTTGCCCGGAGCACAAGACTTCTGCTTTCTAAGTCTCTCTTATTTTGTTAGCTAAAAAGCATTTCCTCAACATCTTTCTGGAAAGGTAGAGAGATTTCCTGCCACAGGTGTCATAAACACATTGTCAATACTGTGTGCACCAAAGCTGATAGTTTGTGCTGCCTTAGGGACTGCACATCTCAGCTGATAGTGCTGTGCTACCTTAGGGACTGTATATTTCAGCTGATAGTTCTTTGCTCCCATTGGAACTGTGTGCACATCAACTGATAGTGCTGTGCTCCCTTAGGAACTGTGTACATCTCAGATGACAGTGCTGTGCTCCCTTAGGGGCTGTGTACGTCTCAGCTGATAGTGCTGTGCTCCCTTGGGAACTTTTATAATCTCTATTGACATCAGAAGTCATCCTAGTTATCCAACAGATTTGGCTTCAGTTTTCCAAGTTGGGCAAATGAGTCCAATCTTTGAACAAAAGGTAAGACTTTGCTGAAATATTTACGAATGAAGCCTAGTATAGGACTTAGCATTTCATCTTAGTTTGCCAGTGTAGACAGGGATGTCCTGAGAATGGCAGTCTTGTTCTGAATCATTTATGCTATAGGCTCACCATCTCCAGGAGGCTGGCTGATCTTGGGTCTGTGGTATCTTTTCCAGCACAGCTTACTGCAATGATGATTGATATGCCATCTAAGAAATCTTCAACAAATGGCATTGGTCTAATTTGATGTCTGCATGTAGAAGAATGTAAAAGGATCCATATTTATCACCCTGAACAACTCGACTCCAAGCAGAACAAAGACCTCAGCATAAAACCAGACACACTGAACCAGATAGAAGAGAAATTAGGAAATAGCTTGAATGCACTGGCACAGGAGACAACTTCCTGAGCAGGACACTGATAGTGCAGGCACTAGGATTGACAATTAATAATTGGGATCACATGAAACTGAGTAGCTTCCATAGAAAAGGATACCAACAATAGGACAAAACAGCAGCCTACAGAATGGGAAACTATTTTCACTAAACCCACATTGTGTAAGAAACTAGACATCAATCACTAAATAATCCAACTTAAAAATGAGGTACAGTTCCAAACAGAATTCTCAACAGAGGAATCTCAAATGGCCAAGAAAGGTTTTTGTTGTTGTTGTTTTGTTTGGTTTTTTCAAGACAGGGTTTCTCTGTATTATTTTGGAGTCTATCCTGGAACTCACTCTGTAGACCAGGCTGGCCTTGAATTCACAGAGATCTGCCTGCCTCTGCCTCCCGCCCGAGTGCTGGGATTAAAGGCATGCACCACCAACACCTGGTGGCCAAGAAAGTTTTAAATGTTCAACATACTTAGCCATCGGGTAAATGCAGAGCAAAACTACTTTGATATTCCATCTTATACCTGTCAGAATGACTAAGATCAATAACACAGGTAACAGCTCGTGCTGTGGAGGATGTGGATCAAGATTGTGGTAGTTTGAATGTAATTGGCCCCCATAATCTCATACGCAGTGGCACTATTAGGAGGTATGACTTTGCTGGAGTGGGTTTGGCCTTGTTGGAGGAAGTGTGTCACTGTGGGGGTGGGCTTTGAGGTTTCCTATGCTCAGAGTACTGCCCAGTGAGTCAGTTGATTTTCTGTTGCCTATAAGATGTAGGAATCTCAGCTATTTCTCTAGCACCATGTCTGCCTGCATGCCACCATGCTCCCCATCGTGATGATAATAGACTGAACCTCTGAAACTAAGCGAGCCACCATAATTAAATGTTTTATTTGTAAGAGTCTGCTCATAGTTTCTTTTTACAGCAATGGAAAACCCTAAAGCTAAGACAAGGGGGAACACTCCTCCATTGTTGGTGGGCGTGCAAACTTGTACAGCC